ATCACATTTACACCTGTTCAACCAATCACATTTACACCTGTTCAACCTCCCACTTGCATGTAAACTGCAGACATGCACTTACAAAATACAACCTTATTTACACTTTTAAATCCTCTGTTGTAATTTTAAACCACTCCGACTTTCACTTACAAGACTAGAATCTTTAACAGTCACAGTCATACCATATTTATGTGGCCAAAGAAAACAGTATCCTCAAAGCCACCATTATATATTAGCTAGAAATCATGTCTGTATTCGTTAGTCCTAACAGATTTTAATGTCGTAGAACAGTGTGCGGAGGTATTTGACACTTATTACGGTCATATACTTTGAATTCATCAAGGAAGGGTCTAAAAATGTTTTCCAAATCAAAACGAATATAGGAAAATGGTTTAAGCTCAAAAGCCTTCACAAACCTAGTTTAAAATGTCGTTAACTATCCAGTAAGATAACCATGTACAAGTAGGACAGAGCTTTAATATAAAGGAACAATCAATGCAATGTACAGCCTTTTGACATCTACATCTCATTTAACAGCAAACAAACAAACATGTAAACCTGTTCCCACCATTGTGCCCCGGACCAGCTGGGGGCCATCAATTACTACCTGTGATTTTACAGGTATGCTTCTGATAACTAGATTGAAATCTTCTATACCCTAAAGCTTACAACACTTATCTGCTGGTGTCAAGTTGGGATCACCCCTAGCTACTTTACTGTCTCCGTTATTGAGAAACTAGATCTAACTTAATGTACTATGAAACAATTTGTACTCAAGACAAATGTTGAAACGACAGAACAGAATTTAAACAACACAAAAGTACCTATGAACTAAATCAATGCTATACATGAACTTATTCTTGTAGTCTTCTTATCTCAGCGGTCCTTCTGATCTTCATCTTCTTCTTTTTGGTCTTAGTAAAACAATCAACTGTTAAAAACAAATATACCTTTTTTTAGATCTAAATCTCGTTTTGTCATTTTACTTGTAAGTATATTCAGGTCTTTTTGAGGAGATTTGTCATTTGTCTTGGAAGTGTTTAGGTCTTTTTGAGGAGTTATGTCATTTGTCTTGTTAGCGTTCAGGTCTTTTGGAGGAGTTTTGTCATTTGTCTTGTAAGTGTTTAAGTCTTTTTGAGGAGTTTTGTCATTTGTCCTGTTAGCGTTCAAGTCTTTTTATGGAGTTTGTCATTTGTCTTGTGTCTTTTTATGGAGTTTGTCATTTGTCTTGTAAGTGTTTAGGTCTTTTTGAGGAGTTTTGTCATTTGTCCTGTTAGCGTTTAGGTCTTTTTGAGGAGTTTTGTCATTTGTCTTGTTAGCGTTCAGGGTTTTTAAAAAGTTTTGTCATTTGTCTTGTAAGTGTTTAGGTCTTTTTGAGGAGTTTTGTCATTTGTCCTGTTAGCGTTCAAGTCTTTTTATGGAGTTTTGTCATTTGTCTTGTAAGTGTTTAGGTCTTTTTAAAGAGTTTTGTCAGTTGTCTTGTTAGTGTTTAGGTCTTTTTGAGGAGTTTTGTCATTTGTCTTGTTAGTTTTCAGGTCTTTTTGAGGAGTTTTGTCATTTGTCCTGTTAGCGTTCAAGTCTTTTAATGGAGTTTTGTCATTTGTCTTGTAAGTGTTTAGGTATTTTTGAGGAGTTTTGTCATTTGTCTTGTTAGCGTTCAAGTCTTTTTGAGGAGTTTTGTCATTTGTCCTGTTAGCGTTTAGGTCTTTTTGAGGAGTTTTGTCATTTGTCTTGTTAGCGTTCAGGGTTTTTAAAGAGTTTTGTCATTTGTCTTGTAAATGTTTAGGTCTTTTTAAAGAGTTTGTCATTTGTCTTGTAAGTATATTCAGGTTTTTTGAGGAGTTTTGTCATTTGTCTTGTTAGCGTTCGAGTCTTTTTAAGGAGTTTTGTCATTTGTCTTGTTAGTGTTTAGGTCTTTTTGAGGAGTTTAGTCATTTGTTCTGTTAGCATTCAAGTCTTTTTATGGAGTTTTGTCATTTGTTTTGTTAGCGTTCAGGTCTTTTTAAAGAGTTTTGTCATTTGTCTTGTAAGCGTTCAGGTCTTTTTGAGGAGTTTTGTCATTTGTCTTGTTCGTGTTTAGGTCTTTTTGAGGAGTTTTGTCATTTGTCTTGTAAGTGTTTAGGTCTTTTTAAAGAGTTTTGTCATTTGTCTTGTAAGCGTTCAGGTCTTTTTGAGGAGTTTTGTCATTTGTCTTGTTCGTGTTTAGGTCTTTTTGAGGAGTTTTGTCATTTGTCTTGTAAGTGTTTAGGTCTTTTTAAAGAGTTTTGTCATTTGTCTTGTAAGCGTTCAGGTCTTTTTGAGGAGTTTTGTCATTTGTCTTGTTCGTGTTCAGGTCTTTTTGAGGAGTTTTGTCTTTTGGACTTCCAAATTTGTTTCATTGGTGTGTCTATGAGAACTTTCATAGTTTTGTCGTATGTTTTAAATTTAACTGTCAGTATTGAGGACTTCGGCTTCAGGGAAGATTTGTCTTTTGAGTGTTGAAGACTTTGTGAGAAGTTAGGTCATGTCTTGTTAGTGGTGATCAGGAGGGCTGCTTTTTGAGGAGTTTTATTATTTGTCTTTTGTCTTGTCAGAGTTGAAGAATTTGTGAGATTTTTGTCGCATCTTGCTGGCATTCAGGACTTTGAGAGGAGTTGACTATTTGTGCTTTGTCATTAAACACTCTAAAGATGGACTCTGACAGGTGATGAACTTTCAGAAAGACCATAAATGGCTGGTATGCCTGACCCACAATCTTTTCATCATATCTTGTTACTTTGCCCAAATTTGATAAGTCAATAAAATATTCCTGACCACAAAAAGCCATTAAAGTTATCTCTATAGAAATGAATGTGTGTCCAAATGACCGTACACATATGGAAATCAGTCACAGTATTGATATCTATCGAAAGGCCCCGTGGACGATATGAATATCCAAGTGTCTTTCTGGCCTACCATCAACAAGTGGAACATAGTCGAGCTATATGTGACCTTTTCTATAGACTTAATAGTCCCTGGCACTTAACAAATAGTTTACATACACATCAACTCTAGTTACCCCTCCACACACCTTAGGACAGACCGAATCAATACCATGGCCTGGTCCATTATCAGATCTGGGATACCATAGGCTGCAGGTCTTCTCGTATATTTGGCTGTTACAGAACCCCAGCTTAGGGAGAAGAGAAAGGGTAAAATTTCATTGATTCAATAGCCTATGGCCAATCATGTAGATGAATGACTAGGAAAAGTTAATCAATTTCCACTGACCCTCTGATTAACTTAAAAACCGTGGGCCCAATCGGCATTGATCTCCCGACTCTCCGAAACTGTCAATACTAATGCAGCACACTTCATTGACTGCTTCCTGACAGTAAATAAGACACAAGCTCATCTACCGACCATCTTACTTACAGAAAATTGATAGATTAACCAATTCAGAACGGCAATATGTTGTATCTTAAATTAGGCAAACCGAAGCAGTATCACCATACAAACGGCAATATGCTGAACCAATGGCTGTCAAGGCTATCTGTCTCCAAGGGTATCGCATGGCTTTTATGGTTGCTACAGATATTTGTTAACAAGCCTCACAATAACATTTCTTTCCCATGGTTGTCATGGTTATGTTTTTTTATACATGTCATAAATGGTTACCAGTGCTATCCGTACAGGGAAAAAATCTTACCATTTTTAGGACCATAATCTTCAACCATTAACCATTTGTAGGACAAAAACCTCCAACACTGATCATGTGTAGAACAATAACTTTCAACCATTGACCATTTGTAGGACCATTATCTTCAACCATTGACCATTTGTAGGACCATTATCTTCAACCATTGACCATGTGTAGGACCATTATCTTCAACCATTGACCACAACTTACAACCATTGACCACAACTTACAACCATTGACCATTGTAGGACAAAAACCTTCAACCATTGACCATTTGTAGGACCATGTACTAGTCCTTACCTTTGAACATTATATTTCATTCTTTTATATGTAATGTAGTGTATAAATGAACACATTTGAATTTGATTTAGACACAGAACCATTGATGATGTAAAGGCTTTAGACATACCGAAAAAAGTTACAAAATAGTTACTTCTTTTTAGGTACAAAAAAGTTATAACTTTTGATGCTAGATTGGAACCTTGTGAGAAGAGGGTTTCAATCTAGTACTAAAAAGTTACAAAAAGGTATTAAAAAGTTACACTCAAACACTTTGTTCAGTTCAATCAATACTTTATTGGCAAACAAAAGGTATACAAAAGTTACATTTAGCCACTAAAACACCAGTGAAAAAGGTACCATAAAGTTATAACTTTATTTAGTTACTAAAAAAGTACAAAAAAGTAATGCTTTTCTGAGATACTGAAACGGTACAGAAACAGTTCTAGTAAAAAGGTACAATAAAGTTATAACTTTATTTAGTTACTAAAAAGGTACAAAAAAGTTATAACTTTATTTAGGTACTTAAAATGTACAGAAAATGTATACTTTTCTGATACAGAAAAGGTACAGAAACAGTTCTAGTAAAAAGGTACAACAAAGTTATAACTTTATTTAGTTACTCAAAAGGTACAAAAAAGTTATGCTTTTCTGAGATGNATTATTTTACAATATAATACACAATAATGTAATAAATATACTCTCATGTTGACTTCCAGGAAGTGCCCTGCATTGACTATGACTCTCTCCAGTTCTGACACTAGCATACTCACTTTTATTCTCTTGTATTCACAACTATTTCACATAAACATTCCTAAAATAATCATTTNAAAAAAATGTCATAACCTAACCTTTACTGGATCTGTTGTTTAAATGAAATTCTATTTTATAGAGTATTCTTTTGAAGTTACTATTATATATCACCTGCTTTCTTGTAGTTATTATCATATAAAAAAAAAATCTTTTGTAGTTACTATAATATAAATAATTTTCATTACGTTACTATTATATAAGTAGATATTTTCTTTACATTACTATTATATAAATAGATATTTTCTTTTAGTTACTAATATATGAATAAATATTTTCTTTTAGCTACTATTATATAAGTATTTTCTTGAAGTTACTATTTATCATATAGATATTCTCTTGCACTTACTACACTATAAATATTTTCTTGTAGTTACTATTATATAAATACTTTCTGTAGTTACTATTATTTTACAATATAATACACAATAATGTAATAAATATACTCTCATGTTGACTTCCAGGAAGTGCCCTGCATTGACTATGACTCTCTCCAGTTCTGACACTAGCATACTCACTTTTATTCTCTTGTATTCACAACTATTTCACATAACCATTCCTAAAATAATCATTAATAGAATATCTCTTGTAAAGTTACAACAAACAATCATATTAATAGTTCTTAAAATTTGAAATCTCTCATTTGTTCTATGTGGTTGAGTTCCTCCTGGCCAAGCTGACCAAAGCACTGATTTTTGTCCTCATTGAAAACTTGATTTCTGACAGGCCACTTTTCCCATGAATTGCCTCAGCATAATCTGTTGAAAAGCAGATGAATTAGGAAAAATAGCTAGTAACATAATTGCAACTTTATTAAATTTTCTTAGTTCTTTCTTCATCGCTTAAAATTCTCGGAATTAATGAATATGAATGGTGAAATCATCGACAGCATTTTATGGTAAACTTGCTATTTAGTATTCACCGACAGGCACCATTAATCAGTTCAAGCAGCTATAGCGATACTTTTGTAATTTCAGTGACATTACTTCTACATAAAGAGAATTGCTGTAGAACTCTTTTCTTTTGTGCTGTTATGAAAAAGTTTTAATTCATAATTACCAATTATTGCTCCAACAATGCTCTGGTTCAAACCTTTCCCAGGTTGACCAGCTCAGTGTTGGTGAAGAACACTGACATCAAATATCTGGCGACCTGTTCCCCTTCGTCTTCCTCTGTGCGGTTTTTATGTGTTTGGGATACACATAAACCCCAGCCCCAGGTATAAGCTCCATCTGTCAAGATAAGGAGCAATAACACAATTTACAAAATAATATAATTTTGCAATTAAAATGAGTCTCCTAAACAAGAAGGAAGTAAACAAGAATTTTAAGCAACATGTTTACCTCTAATTTCTTACCTTGACACAACACAATAGCATTGTAACAGTTGATCGGATTGCTAATATATTTACGATATGGTGTAAAGAGATTCAAAAAGAAAAGCTTTTCAGTTCATTGTGTGTTTATGGTATATAATATCTATATAAATGTAATAGCAAAATCTATCGGTGATTGCTTATGAATATTCTAACTAATTCACCCTTGTGTAGAAATGTAAATACCAGTGCACTACTCATTTGTTGGCTTTGATCTGTTTTATTTCACCTTAAATACCTCCCCAACAAGAGCCGGGGTCAAAGTCAAGAGATCCACTTTGTCTCTGACCTTTGGACCAAAATGACCTTGACCTTTAACCCAGTGACCATGATCTTTGGTCAGTTGACTTATTCTTTAATTCCGACCAACTTTGCTTTATAATACCATAACAAAATGTTCATCAGTAAAAAGTTTCATAAAGAAATGTTCACCAGTGAAAAGATACTAAATTTGACCTTTACCTTTGACCTTGAATTAAGTCATAATGTCATAAAATGCTCATTCATGAAAAGCTACAAAATTTGACCTTAACCTTTGATCCAGTGACCTTGACCTATGACCTTTGGTCAGTTGACTCCTTGTTTAATTCTGATCAACTTTGCTTCATCATGTCATAATAAATTGTTAAGCAGTAAAAAGATACAAAATCTGACTTTGACCTTTGATCAAATGACCTTGACCTTCGATAAGTTGACCTCTTGTTGTATTGTGACCAACTTTGCTTCATAATGTCATTACAAAATGTTTACCAGTAATTAAAGAGCAAAAAATATATATTTTTTAATGTTAAAATCCATTATGGCTGATTTAAGCAGCCATTTTGAAACAGATCTGCCGAAAAATTACCAAGCAGAACTAGGATGCATGGGAAATCATCATGTAAAATTTTAAAAACTTACTCCATTTACTTCCATCAATATTGTACAAAAGAAAAAAAATGGACAGACGGACAACCTGATTACTATAAGGGCACGTACTCGCATCTTCAATGTGGGGCCCTAATAATTATTAAAATCAAAATTCCAAAAGAAAGCCATTTTCATTTCAGCTTGTAAACATATAAAGGCTGTCAAATTTCAATAAGGTTAGACAAAAGACAGAGGAGACTTATGAGATTACAAAAGCTTAAACAATAGATCACAAAATCAGTACCTTAAATCAATGAACTTACCTTTGTTTGATTTGTTTTCGGCACTAATTCTCTTTGCAGCAGGGGGTTGAGGGGGAGGTTCATGGACCACTATAACAGACTCATGAGCTGGAGCTGAAACTTCTTCATCTGTTGTTTCTGTCTGTTTTTCCCCCCATCAGTGTACACAGCTCTTGTTATCATCTAGACAAAGAGAAATATAAAAAAAAATGTGGAATTCTCTAATTTAACTGATGTATATACTGAGCTATACATATATAAGATTTCTGTAGGGAACAGGGTAAGGACATGCAGTGTGGAAGGAGAGGGATCAGTCAACTTTACTGTGGAATATTTAAAATGGCACACTTCAGTTTTTAAAGAAATTTATTTTTTTCCTTTCAAGTCATAGGAATATCAAGTTATTTTAATAACACAAAACAAAAGAAGCATATATATCAGTTTTATCAAGTTGAAAGAATTCAAAATTTTTACTCACAAAAATGAAATAAAATTCAATATTTTTTCAAAGGACGTCATTAAACAATATTTGATGAAGAATGCAGAAGTTGAACAGTGCCTGTTACTTGCATGTCATTTGCTTAAAAAACTGTCAGATATCTCTCTTTAAATTTCCTTTTTGAAAATGAATGTTTTTAATCTTTTTAACAATATATGAAGATTATAAAAACAACACCGCATCCATTGTACTGCTAACATGGGTACTCTTACGTTTCAATTCAAATACAGTATTGTAGGTGAAGAAAATCATACGAAATTTAGAAATTCCAAAGCTACTAATTAAGGACAGATTAACAAAAAATAAGTAAGAAACCATTTAAGTAGAAATTATTCAATCTTAAAATATATTGATAGGAAATTAAAATGCATTGGCTTTTAAATTTCGGTTATTTCTTGTCATGAAGGAGAAATTCCAATAATTATTTAAATATTTGTAAAGTGTTTGTTAACTTTATAACATGTACTAACTGATATATAAAAACGAAAAAGTGTAGACTTATATAGGAAAAATATATATTCGGCACGGGGTTTGAGTATATATTAAGCTAGAAATTAAACATCACACTGAAATATCCTACCTTTCCCCGAAGAACAAAGAATAAACAAATACCGAAAATCTTATTATACACCGAAACGGATTCTGGTAAGTAGATCTACTTTCCGAATTGTATACAAATATAGTAGCTCAGTAAACGAAAATTTAATCGGTACCGAAATAATCGGTGTTTTTAACAGATAGTACTGCCGTCTGCCCATCTCTAAAGATCATACATATAAAAAAAAAACATCCATCGTCTCAGTCATGGTACTGTTTTTATTTAATAAATTTGATATGTTTACTCTGCGTTTTGTATTGAATCCTTTCGATGAAAATACAATTGATGGCTTACCTGAAATGGCGACGATCTCCCCAGAAAACCTGGGATTCATGAAAAGATTTCATCACAAACTGCGTATTCACTAAGCTCTTTTCGTGGACGTTCCACTGTCTTCAAGGAATGATGAAGTTGGTATTGTCTTCCCAGTAAACCAAAACACGTTCCAATATTTTGTGACTCGCCAGGTTAGAGTTCAAAATCTAGAGGTCGATCGAATACAAAATTTACCCGCGTGCTTTTCATTGGCCAATTTGATAAGGCTATTTATAGTCACACGAGATTACTTTTTCGCATAGGGCTTCGCTTTAATAACGATAAAGTCCTACCTCATATTAATCATAACTATTTATTGTTAAATACAAATAGTATGGACACAACAATAACAATTGAAAACAAAAAAGATTCCCTTTTTAACAATAATCAAGCAGCCGTCGTAAGTTGTTTACGACAATAACGTAAAACTTTGGAACGATTTCCGGCACCATGCTGTCAAATGTATGTCCTGAATTTGACACTTTTTCAACGAAAACACGGGAATCAACTTCTTATGCAATTAAGAAGCTATTTCTTAAATGATTAAATGCACAGGTCTTCCTTCTGAAGTAATATTTTCATTGAAATCGGCATGATTTTCAGACATGACTGGTCAAGGTAACCGTGAATATTTGAGAAAGGCATGCTCGTTGTCTTATCGGAATTTGTGTTCGGTTAAGGCCTAATTATTTTAATTTGATATACAGTCCTACAGCAATTAACTGCACCACATGTTTTGTTAAGACTAACAGGTATGACCAGCAAGCGATGGTCGATCTATTGTGTTCCGCTGACTGGGGTGAAGCGAGGTGTGAAAAATTTACCTTGAGTGGACCGATGATTACCTCGGGCGATGTACAATTAGCCGGACCTATTACGTAATTGTCCAGGTGTTTCACACGGACAACTTACTTATAAAATCCATTCACAGCAGAAAAAAACATCATAATAAGCGGGGTCCTACCTTTGACCATATAATAATAAACAATATATATACATAATAAATGGGTTCCACTGTACCAAAAATGTTCTAACTTTATAAAGTTATACCAAAGTTTTTCACAAGTATTGGCATTTTTTTCTAAGTCCAGAAAAGGTACTAAAAGTTATACCAAAAATATTCAAAGTTTTTTACCAGCATTGCAATTATTTTCTAAGTCCAGAAAAGGTACTTAAAGTTATACCAGATTTTTTTAAAGTCCAGAGAAGTTACAAAAAGGTACACTAGTAAAGTTTAAGTTTAAATTAAGGAATCGAAAAGTTATAACTTTTTTGTACCTTTTATCAGGAGTACAAAAAAGTTACTGAAAAGGTACGAAAAAGTTATGCCTATTTGTAACTTATTTCGGTATGGGCTATATACCATCCCTCCAGTGATAGTGTCATCCTATAGGCCATTGATACAATGCTATACTTCATCTCCTATAACGTACAGCTGATTTTATACTTCATCTCCTATAACGTACAGCTGATTTTAAAGCCCCAACCAGAGCTCTCTGATTCCTACAGGGCTACAGGAGGTCTGGTCACTTGAGTCATACAGGACGGTTTTGGCCTGCGTTATTAAATTTTCTTTTCCTTGGAAATTATATTACCACTGTTATGTTACCTGATCACTTAAAATATAACATCATCACTTTGTCATCAAGCTGCATAACTAATTTTTCTAAAATTTTCCCTTTCTAATAAATAATATCATGCTAGCATTAAAGCCAGCTGAAGCTTTCTATCAAGTCAGTTTGATATTAAGTGATTGTGTAGGGCTATGAGCACCGTATGGAGCCGTCCAGAGAAAACGGGCTATACTAAGTTCAGATGAGGATACTAAAATGTCTGATGGAAAATCTCCTGAACCTGGACTATTTGATTGATAATATTATTACAAGTGGATAGGAGGATTTGTGAAGTTGACTAAGCTTTTTGTGATGCTTATTTACCTGGATTTTACTGTAAGCATTGTCTGGTTATGGTAGAACAGCCTCGGGCACCGGTACAGATGATCTGTACAGACGAGTGCCTTGTCAGAATGTTTACCTGTGTATTTATATTTTTATTTCTCCACATTAAATTAGTGATGGTCTATGTAAAATACACAGGACAATTATGATTTATAGCTTAAGGGACCGAGATCTGTCAGAGGACAGCTGATCCAGTCAAAACAAATAAGTCAACATAACATCACAATCAGTAAACTCAGCAAGTACCTGTCACGGTTCTTCAAACTGACCTTGCTACGCGGTAAGTCCTAAATGTACATTTCCAAATATACCATTTTGCATACAGCATGATAGTGTAAGGTTGGAATGTATATGTAACAGGAAAAAGAGATGGCCAGACTGGATTGGCACTGGGGACCCTCCAAACTCTAGACTGACGCTCTACCAATTGAACTACCGGGTAGCTGCGATCGACCCACTCCAGATCTACTTCATTCCTCTATCATTTTTCTCAGTTTTCGCTCCAAAAGACACAACTAATTACAACCCAGATTTGGGTATCCCATTGCACCCTGTGCTTTAGTCAAGGTTGGGCAATTATCGAGCTTGTAACAAAGAAAGAGAAATGCACAGCCAGACCAGGATTCAAACCCGGGACCCTCCAAACTCTAGACCAGGATTCAAACCCGGGACCTTCCAAACTCTAGACCAGGATTCAAACCCGGGACCCTCCAAACTCTAGACCAGGATTCAAACCTGGGACCTTCCAAATTCTAGACAAGGTTTCAAACCCTGGACCTTCTAAACTCTAGACCAGGATTCAAACCCGGGACCTTCGAAACTCTAGACAAGGATTCAAACCCGGGACCTTCCAACCTCTAGACAAGGATTCAAACCCGGGACCTCCCAAACTCTAGACAAGGATTCAAACCCGGGCCCTTCCAAACTCTAGACAAGGATTCAAACCCGCGACCTTCCAAACTCTAGACAAGGATTCAAACCCGCGACCTTCCAAACTCTAGACAAGGAGTCAAACCCGGGACCTTCCAAACTCTGGACAAGGATTCAAACCCGGGACCTCCCAAACTCTAGACAAGGATTCAACCCCGGGACCTTCAAAACTCTAGACCAGGATTCAAACCTGGGACCTTCCAAATTCTAGACAAGGTTTCAAACCCTGGACCTTCTAAACTCTAGACCAGGATTCAAACCTGGGACCTTCCAAATTCTAGACAAGGTTTCAAACCCTGGACCTTCTAAACTCTAGACCAGGATTCAAACCCGGGACCTTCGAAACTCTAGACAAGGATTCAAACCCGGGACCTTCCAAACTCTAGACAGAGGCTATACCAATTGAGCTTCCTGGTTGCCGACGATCGACCCAGTCCAGTTCCACTACACATATATGCTGTTCATCAATTTAATTTACAACATTTACAGAGTTATGGTGTTATTTTTATTTGAAACTAGAAATGTGTCTATAAAACATGGATGTTGACAACCTCACATGTAAGAACTAAAGCAAGGTCACAGAGGTCAAGGTCACGAAAAATCCATACGAAATCCTGTACTCATACTGAGACCAATATAGCATGCAAAGTTTTATATCCAACATCTGCAGTAATGAGCTAGTCCAAAACTGACCTCAACATCTTTTTTTTACCAAAGGTCATAGAGGTCAAGGTCATAAATAGGGGCATACAAGCATGTCAAGGTGTGTGACCTTTAAGCTTAGTCCATAACTGACTGAAACACAGAAATCTTACCAAAATTAATGGTCAGAGAGAGAAAGGTCACAAAAATGTAGTGCAACATTGTTCTGTTCACAAGCATTTCAAGGTGTCCATAACTGACCTTGACATCAAAACTTAAGAGGCCAGATGTATGCACCAACAAGATTTGCCCCACACCAGGTTCTGACAGCTAGACATCAAAGTTGTAAATTATACAGACAACTCTTTCACTACTTTGTTTATAGCGACATAAAACCTGGTACCGTAAGTAAACTTTGTGAAGGAAGAATGCCATACACGAAACCATGGTCAGAGTAACCTAAATTGTGATGCTCTACTTACATTGTATTAAGATATTATCTAAAGCATTACCTCATCTCTGTACACTAGGTCATCACGTACCTCTTGGATAGGTAGTGTACTGTCATACTCAGGCCAGCTAGAGCCTGTGACACTTCGACTATAATCGCTACAGTCTACACAGATTCTTCAGGTACATATACTGGCATCTTTCAAAATTTCATGAAGAATAGAACAGATGTCATGGTACAATGAATCTATAAACATCACAACAAAGAGACTTTTAACCACTCCTATAGTAACTGTTGTATACCGTTATATCTGTCATCTATAATGACATTTCTCCTACTTACGGAGGAGGTTTGGTTTGTATTTATTATTGATGTCAATTGGGGCTTTATACATGGAATTCAATGATACTATCGCTCAACATGAATGAAGATATACATGTTCTGGATTAATACGTCATTGGCCTAACTTTCTTAACAACAAGAGGCCCAAGGGCCTTAGCGGTCACCTGAGTTATATCATAGGTACTGGTAGCTTTATTTTATTGTTTAGATGTGATGTGAAAATCAGCATGTAAACTAAGTGAAATACAATATTTGTCATGTTATCAAATTAAAGGATAAGAATTTTGAAATATTTGTAAATGTTCCCTTTGGGGCCCGGCCGCTCTAACCCCTGGGGATGGGGCAGGAACTCCAAGTTTACAATGTGATACCATCATCCACCAAAGATGATTCTGACCAGGTAAGNCCCGACCTTTCTAGCAAGGATTGTGATATAACTCGCCCGACCTTTCTAGCAAGGATTATGATATAACTCACCCGACCTTTCTAGTAAGGATTATGATATAATTCGCCCAACCTTTCTAGTAAGGATTATGATATAATTCGCCCAACCTTTCTAGCAAGGATTATGATATAACTCTCCCGACCTTTCTAGTAAGGATTATGATATAACTCCCCCGACCTTTCTAGTAAGGATTATGATATAATTCGCCCAACCTTTCTAGCAAGGATTATGATATTACTCTCCCGACCTTTCTAGTAAAGATTATGATATAACTCGCTCGACCTTTCTAGTAAGGATTATGATATAATTCGCCCAACCTTTCTAGC